TCCTCCAGCAGCTCCTCCCGGTCTACTGCCGCATTGCCCTCTCGAACAACCACCCACCGTCCCACCTAAACAGCCATGACCGCGCGCCATGAAATTCCACCCGCCTACACCCAACTGCTCTAGCTGCCCTAGCCTCGCCTGGGATATCCGTAAAGAAGACTATATCCTTCGGATCAGCCCCAAGCGACAAGGCGATCTGCTCGTAGGCCTCGGAGGTTTGCTTAGAATGCCCTCCCACAGAAGTAGGATCAAAATAACACGAGATAAACCTAATCACTGCATCTGTTGTTTCCACGACAACAAGTCCCTACCGCGTTAAATCCAAAACCTTCGTCTTCTCATCTCCACAATACTTATAGATAAGCTTTTGTGCCTCCCTACTCCCACTACTAAAAATCGCTATCCTCGCCCCTCGCGCCTTCCACCTTTCCCAACACGAGCCAACATCAGTAAACATCGGAGCTCGCAGCCCGCCCGTTTCGTAAGACTCCCTCCAGATGAGCCCCTGAGCTGTCTTCAAGGCCGGCTCCTTCCTATCAGCTGCTATCCACTCCTTCATCACATCAGCCACCTCCTCCACAGACCCGTCCCACAGCTCGGCCGGCAGCAGCTTCCTGACCTGAGCCGACTCCAACAGTGCTCTCCATCTCCACCCTCCCACCTGAGCTCCCTCCTGGTGATCCCAGTGGCTTGTCAACCACTCGAGCATCCTATCTCTAGCCAGTGGGAATAGAGTGTCTTTGACAAACGTGATGGGAGTAGTAGTCCCTTCAACATCGAAGAGCAACTGACAGCATCGCCTCTCCACCACCACCACGACAGCAGGCAGCCACTAGCTCACAACTCGATCAACGAGATCGCCTTCATGACGTATCTTTGGAATCTTCGCTGTGCGCTGAGTGCACTTCAATTCCTCCACAGCATACTGTGCTGAGAGACCACTATCACAACAGAAGTAATCGAACGGCCTCCACTACCGAGCCAAGTGAGACACTCCAGATGCCTTCGAGCCTCTACCCAAGACTTCCCCCATATGTACACTCCATGGTTCAACACCAACACTGCCGGGGG